GGGGATGCAGTGTCGCAAGTGCCGAAGGCACGAACCTTGTGGGGGGGTCTGGGGGTATTTTCACTATAATCAACATACCTGAGTCTAAAGAAAACAAATCCATTCACAGACTTAATTTGTCTGGCTCAACAGGTCCAGGGGGTGGGGGGCAGTGTAAAAGTTCCAAAAAATAAAAAAAAATGGCCGTCAACCTACACTAAGAGCTGCGCTGAGGGCACGACAAAAATTGCATAAAAAACTGCAAACCGACGCCTGATGGAACAGGGCCGTGAAAACTAGCTATCATCTCTCGCTAATGATCCTGTAAAATTCATTTTCATTTTTGAGTAGACTGGAAATAAAAAATGGTTCTCAGGATCTGATGGTTACAAATGGTTTGCAAGAGAATTTGAGTTTCGCCCTCAGGTAAGTCTGTTACATGTGAACATTTGTTATTAAGCTCCGATGATGGCCAACAAATTGTTGGGATATTATTTTTTTTCTCATTCACAGCGAAAGCTATGAAGATAAGCACACCGTATATATAGTATACTGGTAAACAAAGATACCAATAAGCCCAGTATTCACAGATAACACCTCCTTTGTAACCAGCCGCTTCTTGGCCGGATTTTTGGTGGTAGTTGCGGCACAAGGAGTCAAGGGAGGAGCGAAAATTCGCTTTTCACGTTAAGCCTTCCCATGTGCCCTTGCGTTTTTGTAGCTTTCCCATGATCTTTATCGCCGCACAACAAAACTTCCCATGATCACTTTCGCCGCGACTGTTGTCGAAAACCCCAAGAAACGCTCGAGTACGAGGCAGGGGTCGCCTTGGAATGCTCTCACGAGTCGAGGGTGATAGCAAAAAAGGCCATTTCTTCAAGAACTCACTGGTACACAAAATGGCCCTTCGTCAACCAGAGAAATACACCAATTCAACCTTCAGGGTATATTTTGCAGATGACGCAGTCAATTGAATTTTAAGCACCTGTCTAGTTCTTTCTTATCCGTAATTAGCCAAAAACACGTTTTAATAGTTATTCTCGCGAGGTAGTTAACTGCGTGGGAAATGTAATAAGCTTGTAAAATTATGCATTTTGTCACCACTGAAGAGAAAATAGTCGCACCTCATTAGAAGTGTCTCGAAACATTCATGGATACAAACTAGAGCATGATGTTGAAATCGACGATGCACGAACTTGTCAGGGGACAGAGATCCAGATTGGCTCACCAGGGAAGTAGGGAAGGCAATTTATATCAGAGCCCACAGTCCATCCGTGAATAGAGACGGGGGGCATACAACCTTCCAACGACCTGGACCAGACTGATCAGGTCAAAAGTCACGTGACACTATCAATCTAGTGTGAACAAGGTTCTCATGGAGACGAAAGCTCAGAATTTTTCCTCCATTGTGGTGGCAAAATGAATTTTTCAAGCTTTTAGTAACTTGTATGAGCTAGTGTAGTTACTGAAAGCAAGATCAGGCCATTACTTAAAAAAATTCTCTTGATGCAAACACTTTTAATTTTTAATTAGAATAAAGCGTTGAAATAATTTGGCCTAAGAGGGAAAATAATAAAAGGAACTTTTAAGACAGGACTGGAGTTTCTTGTAAGACGAGCATATAATCACGATTTTCTCTCCAACAGTTTATTTACGACTGTGATCCCACACAACTGACATTCCTTCGACTTTTAAGTGACCATGCCAAACAGAGCATCACTTATCACTGCTTAAACTCCACCGCCTGGTTTAAACAGAGTTCTGGCAGTTATCAACACTCTATTAAGCTTAAAGCTGATAATGGAATAGAAATCCATGCTAGTGGCACAAAGAAATATGCACCTACGATAGTACTGGACGAATGTAAGGTAGGGAAAGAATATCAGGGAGGGGTGGGTAGGGGGAGAGGAGATTATTAGGACTCATCCAAGTCTGGGAGAAAACTACGCAACCACGCAACACAGTTTCTTTGCAACTCAAAAACAAAAACCGTGAAAACCATCAGTATTTCTATATGCATTATTGACCAAGAGTATTCGGTCAACATGGCTGGATATTGGCCACGAGTTCTTTTTTGCGTTGTCGAGGTCAATAAAAACGCAAAAAAGAGTGAGGCCGATATCAAGCCGTCTTGACCGAATACGCTTGGTCAATAAACGATTTCATATGTGGCTAAAAAGATAACTTTTCCTTGCGGGACTAATGCGGATATCCCGAGCGATCATCGTGTCCGCTCGGGTAGCGAATAAGAAGACAGGATTCGTTTTATCTTGCCCGCTTGCCGAATCAGCCATATGAATAAGTAATGTTGCGTTTCAAGGAGGAAACCAATGGGGCATGAGAAAAGCAAATCGCAAGCAACAGCGTTAATTAAATTTTGTTTTTTAGCTCCCTTGATTATTATGATTTTTTTTATTAGCCAGCGAGCAAAATCCCCGTGGGACTAGGGGTGGGGTGGTGTGGGGGTGGGGTCTAGGGGCTGGGGACGCTCCCACCCTCACTAGTTCCCCAGAGAGATTGCGACCAGGCTAAGTTTTGATTGGTCAGAACACAATAAAAGGGAATGTCAGATAAAATTTTCTTGAGGAAGGTGTGTGTATGATTTTTTTTTCTCCTTTTTAGTGTGTTTTCACTAATTTAAGATTTTGACTCTTACTCTTTTTAGATCAAAGACAGTACTTGGCGAAAAACAATCATAGAAGTGAACACTCCCAAGACGCATCGCCTTCCAATACACGACGTGGCCGTTTACGATATCGGGGACACTGGGGAAGAGTTTGGCCTCGAAATTGGACCTGTTTGTTTTTCGTAATACGGATGTGTTAATGAATATGCGAGTTATTTTAAAGCAAATTTGTTGTGCAAATTTGAACTCGCTGGGGGAAATCACGGACAAGTTAAATTGAATTTAGTTACACTTAGTATGAAACGAAGTGTCAATGACAATGTAATTCCATAATCTCATGTCTAGATCTCACAGCTGTTGTCCATAGTTCCTCCTAACCGTGGGAGACCTAGGTGCTACATTAAGGGTGTGTTCGATTGACTGTATTCCGGAATAAGAACACGCCAGAGTTTTGTTACAAGTCTCTTCTAGTATTAGTTTTGGACCACTTAAACGCTACATACATGGAAATATGTTATTTCTTGCTATTGTAATGCATTAAACGCTAAAACAAACGATTTTTAGAGTTCATTTCATTTATTCATATTCCGGAATACGGTCAATCGAACACGCTCTGAGTATTCAGTGAGTTAAAGTATAAACATGACGGTCAGAATAAAACCATTTTGCTAGTTAGATTTCTTTCAAGTTGTTTGCTTTCCTACGTATTGAGCACTTTCCAATCAACAGAATGAAAACTTTTCGTTTGCCGTTGCTGATTNCAACAGTTTATTTACGACTGTGATCCCACACAACTGACATTCCTTCGACTTTTAAGTGACCATGCCAAACAGAGCATCACTTATCACTGCTTAAACTCCACCGCCTGGTTTAAACAGAGTTCTGGCAGTTATCAACACTCTATTAAGCTTAAAGCTGATAATGGAATAGAAATCCATGCTAGTGGCACAAAGAAATATGCACCTACGATAGTACTGGACGAATGTAAGGTAGGGAAAGAATATCAGGGAGGGGTGGGTAGGGGGAGAGGAGATTATTAGGACTCATCCAAGTCTGGGAGAAAACTACGCAACCACGCAACACAGTTTCTTTGCAACTCAAAAACAAAAACCGTGAAAACCATCAGTATTTCTATATGCATTATTGACCAAGAGTATTCGGTCAACATGGCTGGATATTGGCCACGAGTTCTTTTTTGCGTTGTCGAGGTCAATAAAAACGCAAAAAAGAGTGAGGCCGATATCAAGCCGTCTTGACCGAATACGCTTGGTCAATAAACGATTTCATATGTGGCTAAAAAGATAACTTTTCCTTGCGGGACTAATGCGGATATCCCGAGCGATCATCGTGTCCGCTCGGGTAGCGAATAAGAAGACAGGATTCGTTTTATCTTGCCCGCTTGCCGAATCAGCCATATGAATAAGTAATGTTGCGTTTCAAGGAGGAAACCAATGGGGCATGAGAAAAGCAAATCGCAAGCAACAGCGTTAATTAAATTTTGTTTTTTAGCTCCCTTGATTATTATGATTTTTTTTATTAGCCAGCGAGCAAAATCCCCGTGGGACTAGGGGTGGGGTGGTGTGGGGGTGGGGTCTAGGGGCTGGGGACGCTCCCACCCTCACTAGTTCCCCAGAGAGATTGCGACCAGGCTAAGTTTTGATTGGTCAGAACACAATAAAAGGGAATGTCAGATAAAATTTTCTTGAGGAAGGTGTGTGTATGATTTTTTTTTCTCCTTTTTAGTGTGTTTTCACTAATTTAAGATTTTGACTCTTACTCTTTTTAGATCAAAGACAGTACTTGGCGAAAAACAATCATAGAAGTGAACACTCCCAAGACGCATCGCCTTCCAATACACGACGTGGCCGTTTACGATATCGGGGACACTGGGGAAGAGTTTGGCCTCGAAATTGGACCTGTTTGTTTTTCGTAATACGGATGTGTTAATGAATATGCGAGTTATTTTAAAGCAAATTTGTTGTGCAAATTTGAACTCGCTGGGGGAAATCACGGACAAGTTAAATTGAATTTAGTTACACTTAGTATGAAACGAAGTGTCAATGACAATGTAATTCCATAATCTCATGTCTAGATCTCACAGCTGTTGTCCATAGTTCCTCCTAACCGTGGGAGACCTAGGTGCTACATTAAGGGTGTGTTCGATTGACTGTATTCCGGAATAAGAACACGCCAGAGTTTTGTTACAAGTCTCTTCTAGTATTAGTTTTGGACCACTTAAACGCTACATACATGGAAATATGTTATTTCTTGCTATTGTAATGCATTAAACGCTAAAACAAACGATTTTTAGAGTTCATTTCATTTATTCATATTCCGGAATACGGTCAATCGAACACGCTCTGAGTATTCAGTGAGTTAAAGTATAAACATGACGGTCAGAATAAAACCATTTTGCTAGTTAGATTTCTTTCAAGTTGTTTGCTTTCCTACGTATTGAGCACTTTCCAATCAACAGAATGAAAACTTTTCGTTTGCCGTTGCTGATTTGAGGCGACTACAAAGAAAAAAAAACAAAAAAGAAATAATTCTTGGGAAGCTGAATAAAGGACCGCAAACAGTGTTAACTCTTGTGTGTAAAATTCTACTTCGAAATACTTTGACGAGGGGGACCATAGCTAGATTATTTGACCAACCACTGAAAACATCGAGTTCCAGTAAAAACAACTAACCATATGCTATTATGTTTGAGCGCGCTTTTCCCTTCTTAAAACCTTCCAAAGTGATATTTGATACGTGGACTCTGCTGTACCGGAAGGAAATGTGGATGGAAAGTTGCCTAGTCCCAGTGCGGCGTCTTTCCAGGCCTTCTCGGTCAACGCATTTCGGTGACGTATCCGAGACCAACGGCCGGGAGGCAAAAACTCGCCTCACCACGTGACCCGAAACGCATCGGCTGCGCGTAATAATGAGGCTTAAGGACTAGGCAAGATGGAAAGCACTTTAGCACAGTCTACGCTTTGTAGAATCACGATTAGAGAGATTTATAATCACGCTTAGGGCAAACATAAATTTGCATCAAGTGACCAAGTTTTTCCTTAAATTGTCATTTACTGTTGTGTTACTTCTACTCAAAATATAGAAGTCTCACTCCAGTTCTAGCCATAGGAACTGTTTGGGCAGTTTTGATTTGCTCATTTTATTTTGATAAATTCTCAACTTGAAAATGACGTTTGCCGTTTCTGTAAACGTGATTCCAAGCCTCTTTTATCACCGCTTTTTTCTGACAACCAAAACAATAATATCGGCCATCAACTCTTTTATTTCACTATTGGCAGTGTCCTGTATCCTTTGTAAGAATAATAAATACCTATCTTTATTTAGTACCTTACACAGTATTTCTAACTAATTTAAGCCATTACTATTCCATATACCATATCAGAACCATTGACACTGCGAAACCTCTTTCTTTGCGGACACCTCTAAAGTATAAACGGTAAAGATGTATCTAATTAACACAGACATCTGGCTAATTTCGACAACTTGCTTACTAAGTAAGTGCTTGGTATTGCAGTACTGCAAAAGACGGTTTTGTCGGCAAACTATTCAGTTCATCTAACGGAAAAGTAGAATTCATTTTTGAATGCTGAATTGGTTTCGTTTGGTAATTCTGAACCCTAAGGGGTTAGAAAGCTCAGTTGTTTACATAAGACAGCGTTCGTCAGTTAGCGTGAGGCCGGCCGTTGTAACCATTTTACTATCCAAAGCTAACCTAACATTCCCATACCCCATGGTTAAAACAGTTCTACAATTTTTCTCTTTCCACGTCGAGTGCAAATATAACACTGGTATTAATATATTTGTCTACTACTGAGGCTGTCATTTGGGGCAGGCATTCGGACGGGCTATTACAAAAGTGAACCTCGGCTACTTTCTGTCATCTTGAAAGCCAACCTCATTCCCAGGGCGCTCCGTAGGGACGGGTACGAGAGAGCCCTGGGAACGAGGTTGGTTGAAAGCACAGTGAAAATGTCCAAAATGTCAAATCACCGGATACATCTCCCATCTACCCACCCCCCTCCCCCGTTCAAAATTAAACGACAGACTGGGTATAATACATTAGTTCATAGCCTTAGAGCGGTTTTTTGCAGTGCTACATCTAAACTAATGAGATAAACAAGGTCTGCACTGGACCAATCAGAAACGGAGAAGGAAAACTAACAAAGACTGCAAAGCGCTGCGGGAAAACAATGATTCCACGAAAGGCGGGAAAGATAGCATCCGCTGGATGAGGTTCCTGATTGGCTACGAAACTTGTTGTTTAGTTTGATTGTTTAGAGTAAGGTTTGGCAACTATTTGAATTAAAATTCGGATTTTGAATCAGTTTCAGGAAAACCAGTGTTGGGGATAGTTCTTGCATCCTCATTCGACAAAACTGAATACGGTTCCGAAGAGTACAAGGTTAACTGAATGGTATCTTAGAGGGAGACATCTTTGGTGAACCGAATTCACCGATGTTAGACGAGGCATTAGCCTGAATTTCGTGAACAGTGTTTTGAAATCTGGACCACTCATCAGGTCTCGGCACCGCAAGTTGCTGAAAGGAAAACAAAAAGCAAGAGATCATTATTTCGTCAACACGAGTAAAACATGGACAGTAGAGGAGATACAAGGGCTGCAGTATCACGGTGGTCTAGTTCATTTTGTGAATATAGATGGTTTTCACAGTGACGTCATCAAATTGTAAAGTCAAAATAGCGAGGTTTTACGAATGCTTATTTACACTAGGTTGAAGATAAACAAAAAATTAATCTTTGTACAAGTTTTCAGTCCCATAGCATGTTTCATTTCGAAAATACAGCGATTTGAACTTCGAGTTTTCAGAGTGCGTGACACCAAAATAGGAATGCTGTCTCGTTGGAAAAAAGTCTCTCCTCTTGATTTTCAGCAGTATAACCATTTCAAGTATTAGAAGATATGTTTATGGGTACGTAGGCTAGTTCTCGAGTGAAAAGAAGGAGCTTTTATAGAACAAGTGAACTGCAGATGTTTTTGTTGATTTTCGGCGGCCATATTGGTGCACCAACACTGTGCACCAATATGGCGTCTCCATACAAAGCTCCTCAAAGATGCGTGAAACGTCTTGGCAAATAACTCAGAAACTGTGGGCCAAAAAGACCTGAGACTTGGACAAATTGTTTAAAAATTAGTCTTTTATAACATATCATTTTCTTGGCTTCTTTCACTGGGCGGTTTTCAATTTATTTTTTTGTTGCGTGACAGTAAAAACGATCTATTACCAAATACGCGTCCATATTCGCTACAATGGACTTTAAGATCCAACGACGCGACGGCAACGAGAACGTCGCTTAGAAAGTGAATTTGCGTTCTTTTAGTCTTTACGGCGATTATTTCTTCTTACGTACTTTGTCAAATGTACGCGAACCCTCCTGAACTTGAATTCCAAGGGACCATATTCAAGTTCAGAAAGCGAAATAAAATTTCGTCATTGCTTGTTTACGGTCTCAATAAAACACGAAATTAGGCAAATGCACTTCGTGGTGGTGCAAAAACGCTTAAGAAATGTACAAAAAAGTGTGATGCATCTGCAAAGTTGTTGTTTTGCCTTCTAATCCAAAACTATTCGGTTCTCTTGACGTTTCGTTGCCATCGCGTCGTCGGATCGTAACCACAGCTTCGTGTCAAACAAATAATAATGTACTCCCAAGTATTATAATTACCAACTGTTACAGCAAACAAAAATGAACTTTTAACATCTGTTAGGCTACCACGTTTTCCGCGCAAAAGCCACCATTCCAATCCGTTTCAATCTTCTTCTTCCTTCTCCTTTTGTATTTGCTGCATTATTTATACCTTCTTTTCATGTTCTGAGTAGTTATTTTTATGTTCACTTAGTTTGGTGGCAGTTCCCACTGTCTGGGATCATTATAAGTTTCTGGGAAACTGCCCACCTACTCCTCCCCTAAGCCAACATTTTACCCTAAGTTAGAAGTAAGTGTTGATGTTGGCTTAGGGAAGGGGTAGGTGGGCAGTTTCCCAGACAAATTTCGAGACAGTTCCCCCTGGCAATAAATACTGAATGAGCGGGAACTTTCTTATATTCGACTCTCGATAACTTAACATTTTTCGTGAGTTCTCTCACCTCCCCAACGTCATAAATGAACACGTGACCATCATCGTCACCCACGGCAATCTGGTGCCCTGAATGCGTCCACCGCAAACGGTTCAGTGACGTCATTGATTCGGAATGTGTACTTGCTGTTGGTACCTGCAAGGGAGCAAAGTGATGGAGATTGGGTGGGAGTAATACACGTGTTTCACGTGCATTCAAACGAAATATAGTTCAAATTTGTACCTCAGTATCGTTGTTAAGGTTCCACAGGTCCAGTCTTCCAGTGCCGTCCACAGCCGCGAATAAGGCAGGGTGGATTGGTGACCACTGTACGTCATACACGTAATCGCCATTGTCTTCAAACGAATACAGTGGCCGAGGGTTCTGAATAACGCAAGCATAGATTCAAGAAACGTCGCAGATTTAATGTCGTAAAATACCCAAGAACAGAATTTTCTAATGAAGGAGGTTGGCCCTCTTCCAATCGCAAAATGATGAAACTTTTAACACTTCATAACTTGTTTCCATCACTACGACATTTTCGCTAATACCAAAAGTAGAATGACGACGGCAATCGCGTTTTCCCGCCAAAATGACGCTGGTTCACGCGTGCGCTACTTAAGTTGCGATCGAATGGGAAATGCGGATTTAGATTTTGAAACCCAGATTTCGGATTTTGCAATCGAACGCGAAATCCAAAAACAGATTTTACCTCCGAGAAATCTGTCCTGGGGGTGGCTTTCAATTAAGAAATCCAAATCCGGATTTCATGGATTTCTTTTTTACCGTTCGATTGGGAAATCCGAAAAAGGATTTGCAAAACTATTCTCGTAAACAGCAGTCTTCCATTGGCTAATTATGCGGGCGCGTGCAAGACCGCTGTTCTTAAGGACAGTTTTTCAAATCCTTTTCCGGATTTTCCAATCGAACGGCAAAAAGGAAATCCAAAAACAGATATCTCAGCATCGGATTTCGCGGTCGATTGCAAATCCGAAATCCGAAAATCTACATCCAGATTTCCCAGTCGAACGCACCCTTAGTACTGAGAAAATCTCGATCTCGCAGTCGCCCTCGTCTTAGAAACTAAAGCTCTCTAATAGAAGAAGAGATAGCGTCCCCAACACAGCCCCACACTGCAATTCGTCACCACAGCGACCCACTCTGACGCGCAAATCGGCGCAGTGCGCATGCTTTTGTAGCAACAGCCGCTGATTACCTTGTGACTCCAGAGTTTGATGGTCCAATCAAATGACGATGTTAAGAAGAGATAGGAGAAGTCGATAGGTCCAGCCGCGGAGTGCGTATCAATACCTGTCGCTGGACCATAATGACCTTCAAATATATCGCTGATGCCAGCTTTACTATAAAATGAGAAAAGTGGAGAAATAATTTTTATATTGTTCAATTAAACCACGGCCTCAAATCATACTGCATGATATCCTAACCTTTTAAAGTATAAGCTTGCTGCGTTGAGAAGCCAAGCAACATTCTATAACACTAAAACTACAAGGATACAAATCGTTTGGCCTTTTTAACCAGGAAAATGGCTAAAGTTCTCAAATTTTAGCGATGCAGGGGGAAATAAATTTGATTCGATTCCTGATAACGTTTATAGGTACCGCTGACCAGAGCGTAAAACATGCGCATATCAAAGGACATCAAACATTTCGGAAAGCGCAAAATCCTTTCTTGGATTTTAGTACAGAAACGCAAAATCTACTTTTGGATCAGTGAAGGAACTCAAAACCCAGGTTTGGATTTTGGAATCTCAATTGAGATTTTCTGAAATAAACGCGTCCTTAAACGCCTACGGAAGCAAGTACAGTGAAACACCGGCTTAAGGCCACCTCGTTATTAAGGCCACTTTTTTTGGCCGCCTGGCAAAACGGCCATACATTTTCTTGTAAAAAATCCCTCGTTAATATGGTCATCCGTTAGTACGGTCAATTTTTTTGGCCTATTGGTGACCGCATTAACGGGGTTCCACTGTAGAAGCAAAAGATAAAGCCCGCGGACGTTATTTTTTCGCGTTTTGCAGGCTTGCGAAGGTAAGCGCGAAAAGAAGAAAAGGCGCGAGACGCGCGCAACAGGGAGCACAGAAAAAATTATTAAAAGTTATTTTTCCACGCCTTTCCTCGTCGCGTGTGTCCCGTGTGTCGCGCGCTCCACGCCCGCTTCGTTCTTCGCTCGCCCGAAAAACGCCAAAAAAAACAGCGCCGCTTCTGCAGGTTACAAATCAAGCCACTGCGTTACCTACCTTCCATGCCGACAGGCTGTGTAGACAGAGCCCTCTTCACTACCGACTACAAAGTTATTCACATCGCCGGCTAAGAAGGACAAGCTTGTCACAGCTACTGCCTTGGATTGCTTGTACTGAAGCTCCATGCTGTCCTGAAATCATTGAAATGCAAACCATTAGTTGGCCACGAACAGTAGAGAGTTTAAGCTTCACGTATACGGCAAACGGCAAACGTCAGATTCAAGCAGAAAAATAGAAAATGAGCAGATAAAAACAGCCCAGAAAAGTCATATGGATAAAAAATTGCCTGAAACTACTAATTTGTGTGTAGAAATAATGAACAGTAGGCGACAAGAATGGGGAAACTTGGTCACGTGGTACAAATTTGCGTTTGCCGTTTGAAGTAAATGTGATGCTTAACCTCTCTAATACCTCCACGCTAATAACGTAAACTGCTCTTTAAAAGCCCTAGCTTATACATCTTCCTAAGAAGTTTTAGGAGAGCTTATAAAGGGAGGGGATTTTACCCGAGGAGCCTTAAAACGCGAATAGAAAAACTGCTCTGAAACAAACTGTAGTGATGCTGATCAAAATACGTTTTGAAGTTACTGGTCTTTAATTGAGCTTCCAAAGATCATAATAAATCGAATTTATTTCAAGGAAAGGTAAAGGGAGGCTTATATGCGAGGTGTTTATAAACGAATGTATTTTGTTTTGTTTTTCCAGAGGCCTATTGAAAGCGGAGGGGGATCGGGTGGGGGTGGGGGTGGGGTAGGTTTTAGAAGGGTGCGTATATTTTTAACCTGAATTTTAAACTATTTGTTTTACATATTGTGAGGTAAGCCATAGATGGCCCCTGGCAGCATGTTACTATCGTTTTTAAGACTGTCTTATTTGTTGTCGCAGTCTTAATCCAACTTCGCATCGTAACCATCTCATATGCTTGATGTCGTTGTATAAGAGCCACGTTACTTTGCAGTGCTACGGTTTGTGATTTTCCGGCTTTTTTTTATTACTGACGAAATTTTTACCCTGCATAAATACTTATTCAATTAAATCACATAAGCATTAGTAGGAGTAGATGGGCGAGGGTGGAGTTGGGTAGCCTGTTCACAGACCCTCTATTTTCTCTTCAGAGATCGACGAGCGAGAGCGAGGGATTTATAAGAGACCATTAGATTCTAAGACGAGTACGATTACGAGTAGCGCACGTGAATCAACGTCATTTTGGCGGGAAAACTGCGTGATAGCCGTCGTCATTCTACAAAGGGGTTTGGCGAGAACCGCCAGCGCAACGGGCTGGGGTGAGGAAAGGAAAACAAAGTCTTTCGTTTCTGGCGTTTCACGCTCGTTCTCGCACTCTGCGCTCGCTCCCACGTTTCGCTCACAAACGCGTCGGAAAAAGCAAAGAAAAAACGTCTTTTGGTAGGATAGGAGTTGGGGGAGGCGCTCATGGGCCCAACGAACCTTTTTCAATAATTTCGTTTTTTTGATCAAGCACTACTTTAGCGACTTTAGCGCCCGTTTAGGATATGAACTTTCATTCTAATTTCCAGTTTGAAAACAACAGACTTAATTATTTCTTCGGAATTCTAGTCTTACAGGAATCAGTTTAAAATATTTCCGGGTTGGGGTGAAGGGGGGGGGGGGTACCCCGGATTTCAAGTGACGTGGATGATCAAAGGATCTTTATGGGTTTGAAATTTTCGATTCCGGAATTTTTTGGGCATTTAAAACAATGTGAAGATTCCTGGTAGTGCCTGAATATCCCGGCCGCGTAGTTCTGCGAATAAAGTATAACCAAATAAGGAACAACGTGTTATATAGTTTAATGCTTTCTGTAATTTTTTAAGGCTCGAAAATTCGGCATGGGATTTTTTGGGGGTTAAGTTTTGGTCCAGGGATTTTTTTGGGTTATGTTGGTAGCCCTAGGGATTTTTTTGGGTTTTAATTTTTGTCCCCATTCGATCATCCCCGTATCCGGGGATGATCGTATCCGGGGTATCGTATCCGGGGTATCCCCCTGGGAAAATATTACACTTCTAACTAATTGAAAGGAAGTGAGAGATCATCAGCTTTTTACCTGGGGCTGAGAGAGCATGTCAAGACTCCAGGAGCACATCTTGCCATCAGTAGAAACACTGATCAGATTGTGAGCATTCTGTGTTCCAACCACGTTCACACAATACACTGGATGCTGTGAAAATAACATGGGCATGTGCATGGTGATCAGATTCAAGCTACTTCTTATAATGCTAAGGAGTAATCACAGGGTTCATACAAAACATTGCAACCATTTTTCAAGGACTTTTCAAGGACCACCTACTAGGAATATAATTTCACAGATTCTACAAAAATGCACATTCCCAGTTTATTTTAATAAGAGCACTTTATGTAAATAACCTTTTAATTCTCTGGGCTATGATTTATATTCTCCTTGGACAACCAAAAAGCATAAAAAAATTCGTTCCAGGCCACAACATTCAAAGTTGAAGAAAATTCAAGGACTTTTCAAGGACTTCCCCTAAAATTCAAGGACTTTTCAGGACTGTTCAAACCCTGTAATCACGGTTTACGGTTTACAGGCAAGATGACTTTCGGGCGATTTGACCGGTTACCACACGGGTTATGTCTAGCCAAGTCAACTTTAGCAAGCGTTTCTGTGAGAAAACATTTGACCCCTTTGCCTGAGCCGACAGTGCTCACACATGTTCTGATTGACTCGCCTTGACCAAGTTGCCCTTGTAATTTCCTATAATAATTATTTAATGTTCTTTCAATCTCTAGTAATTTTAGGGTTGTATTCCAGAATATTGTCATAAGATAGGTCACGTAAAACCGAGCTGCAGAGGGCCTACAGATACTGTTAACACAAGGGCCCAGTTGTTCAAAGGCAGAATAGTGATAACTCGAAATTTTTTAAAATTAAAATTAAAAACCAAGTTTCTTTTTCTTTTGCTAAAATGCATTTTCTCTGATAATTTTCCCCTTTTTCTTTGGAGCATCCAATCATCAAATTGTAGACAAAAAGAATTAAGCTGGATTACTTTTTAAGCTTTCATCATAGCTGAATTCAAGTTTCGCACTAACCCTGGGTTAGTTTAACCCAGCTTTGAACAACCCGGCCCAGAGTATTAACTTACTGTGTGCGCAGTTGCAGACAGAGGAGTTCTCTGAACAGGGGTCTTTTTACTACTTCGATTGTCCCACAACACTATCTGACCAGAGTATGTTCCACCAACGATCAGATTGGGATGAAACTTGGCAAATGTTACTGACATCACACCTGACTAAAGTAAAAAAAATACATTCAATTCAGTGAGTTGTGACAAGTATTAACGTTATTGTAAAAAGAGTCAGTGGTGCGCCAATCATTGACTTTCGAAAATCCACATGCACACAATTTTCACCGACAACATCCACGTGTGTCAAACAAATGTTGTGCGTCTAATTTACATGACATGATCTATCATGAAGTCATGACGTATGCTAATCATGTACAATGGTCGTAAGCAAAACTCATGCCATCTAAATCAGCTTTAAGACATGGTACAGCAGCTGTCCTAAGTGGAATTCGTACAAAGATACAATGCAGATTGATTGATTAGGTGGGTCAATCTGATTACAAGTTTTTCCAATTATGATCGATTATGAAATCTCTGCTGACAGCCGATTAACAACACAGCAAAAAGTAAATACATTAAAAGGACATATTACATGCAATCGTACATGTAAACTAAAGAGCACCATGACGGTGGTGATAAACAAGCACAGAAATTCCATACTGATGATGCATCACTACCCAGATCTCGGTAGTGTTGATGATTGTTTGAAGCAAATTTACCATGTGACATGACCAATCAGAAGCACTACCCAGATCTGGGTAGTGATGTCATTAGTATGGAATTTCTATGTGTGAATTTCTCAGACATCACTTTGTAGGGAAACCATTGGTTGCCTCGCAAAATGTCGGTTTTTTTCCCAGGTTAAACTTTTCTTAACTTCTCTTCGGTTTACTTTCGTTTGTTAGCATCCCCACCAAAACGTGACCCTTTTACGATTTCCCAGGAAAGTTAGTTTCACAGGGATTCAACCATAGCCCTAGTCCTGTGTACAAGAAAGGCAGTGGATCAGAAGAAGTGATTCTGCTTACCTGACAGTGAAAAATGTACTCAGGGGATTCTTTCTGATATTTCATGTTCCATATCAGTGCTACACCATCTGGTTCATGGGGGGCATCTTCATTGTTGTTATATGAAGCTACTAGCAATTCTGGGTACTAAAAAACAACAGACAAAAAAAGAAGGACTTAAAACAATATGACCAACATTTCATAAAAAGATCCAGTAAGCCTGAGGCACAGAAGATCATGCCTTAAGACTTCAATGACAGTTTTACCCCCAAAATGAGTGATAACGTCTTGTAAGGTGGTTCTAACCTTTGGGTCTGTGAATGAAACATTTTTGGCAGCACTTTGACATTGTGCTATGGTACTACTTGCTTCTCAGCGTTTTACAATGTCACTGTTGTGATTCAAATCACCCAGTTTGCAAATCTATAGAGTTAGCGACTACTTGTGTGTGATTTACCGGCAAATAGATACACTTGCTGCTTTTAGAATGATTTTTCACTTGTTCATTTTACAATCAGCAGGGGTGTTGGTTGATGGTAAATCACAAATCTTAAATCACTAACCAGTCTTAATCAACTTTCTTCTACATGTAACATCAATACATTATCCAGCAAAAAAGTTATGAGTTATGATCCCCAAAATGAAATTGCTTTGATCTTTTATCAAATTCTCTCAACTGATTCTGTAACGAAATGTTTGTAGATCAGTCTAGAGAATTTGTATGTGGATCTCGGGGATTAAAAGGTCAACACTACTGCATCTGTTACAAGTACCTGTGTAGACCAGTCCAAGCAGGTCACTGTTCTGTGCCGGGACCATCTCTCATCGAAAAACTCTCGATTAAATGACATTTTACCAGCTGCTTGAGCATCACTATGAAAGGAAAAAAATTTTGTGTCAATTTATTTAGGACGGAAGTACTAATTGGGAAAACTATTTTTACATCTGCTACTGGAGATGGGACTGTCATTTTTGGTGGTCATCTGAGCCACTTGAAGGTCTAGCCATTTGCAGGGCAAAGGCAGTACCTTCATTTCTCAGTAATTTTAAGAACCTGAGTGTTGGTCCAGTCCCGGGAATTGAACCCGCGACCTCCCGCTCTGCAGTCAAGCACTCTACCAACTGAGCTAATCCTGCCTAAAGGGAAAAGGGGAATGAGACTGAGCGACCAACATCAATTTTCTCTTAGCAACATCAGCAGATCATCAAGAGTAAAAGGTTATAAGAATTACTAAATTGATTACCAAAGGAAGAATGCTTTGATCTTAAACCAAATTCTCTCAACTATTCTCAAAAGAAATGTATGGAGATTAGTATGGAGAATTTGTATGTGGATCTTGGAGCTTAAAGAGTTAAGAAATCTTTACCCCTAGTGTGCAGGGTGTTGCAAAACATTTCTGTTCCTCAGGGTATATTCTCACGGCACTAGATCACAAGAGACCTCCATCTCCTTGACTAGTTTTGTGCTTATCATCAATATATAATCAATCATCAATCACAATCTTTNTCTGTTACAAGTACCTGTGTAGACCAGTCCAAGCAGGTCACTGTTCTGTGCCGGGACCATCTCTCATCGAAAAACTCTCGATTAAATGACATTTTACCAGCTGCTTGAGCATCACTATGAAAGGAAAAAAATTTTGTGTCAATTTATTTAGGACGGAAGTACTAATTGGGAAAACTATTTTTACATCTGCTACTGGAGATGGGACTGTCATTTTTGGTGGTCATCTGAGCCACTTGAAGGTCTAGCCATTTGCAGGGCAAAGGCAGTACCTTCATTTCTCAGTAATTTTAAGAACCTGAGTGTTGGTCCAGTCCCGGGAATTGAACCCGCGACCTCCCGCTCTGCAGTCAAGCACTCTACCAACTGAGCTAATCCTGCCTAAAGGGAAAAGGGGAATGAGACTGAGCGACCAACATCAATTTTCTCTTAGCAACATCAGCAGATCATCAAGAGTAAAAGGTTATAAGAATTACTAAATTGATTACCAAAGGAAGAATGCTTTGATCTTAAACCAAATTCTCTCAACTATTCTCAAAAGAAATGTATGGAGATTAGTATGGAGAATTTGTATGTGGATCTTGGAGCTTAAAGAGTTAAGAAATCTTTACCCCTAGTGTGCAGGGTGTTGCAAAACATTTCTGTTCCTCAGGGTATATTCTCACGGCACTAGATCACAAGAGACCTCCATCTCCTTGACTAGTTTTGTGCTTATCATCAATATATAATCAATCATCAATCACAATCTTTAAGTGATGTGGCGGTTGATTATGGAAAATGTTCAATCGATTATTGCACGAAGAAAAACGAAATATTTTGTTGGCAAAAAAAACATCGGAAACTTGTGTGTTGTCTTTTTAATGGTCTCATTTTATAATTAAAGGAGAAAGAGAATCTGACCAACCGAAAGCACAGAAGAATTCTGAGCTCTAACCGAGATTCTAGTTCTACTGAGTTCCTATGGCGAGCAGCGTCAAATCCGCTGATGTCCCTTTTCTGATACAATTTTTGAATGTATTTGTTGTGTTCTAAAACACACTAGCAGTGGCTGCCCTAAATGGAATAATTTTTTCTTATCAAGAGATTTTTTCAACAACAATTGATGATCAATCTGGTGGGTCAATCCAAACAAATCCAGCTAGTGGTTACAGAGTTCGAAATTAATGCTCGCAAACTCACAAAATGTGAGTGATTTTGATAATCTGCAAGTGAGAAAA